GCAAAAGTTAATAATTTTAAATGACGTGAAAACATCGAAGATGTGTAATTATATGTTACAGCTTTAAGATCATGTGTGGACTCATTAACTGACACTGAAAAGCTCTGTGAACTTACAGTTTTTACTGAAAAGGTTTAATTCAATTAATTCAATATTAAATACGTATTATGAATTGCAATATCATCAATATCTAAGTATATTCGAATTCATTGTTCCAATTATTTTGAAATAATTTTAAAAGGAAAGAAAAATAAGATGATTCTTTCAATAATAATTTTGAAATAGTTATTTACATTCAAAAAAATACCAAATACAGAAATCTAAAATTCCATATTCTTAAACTATTCATAATTTAAATCCCCCAACATAAATTAAAAAGCTATTTCTGAAACAAAATATTTTAAAAATTGATCTACCAGATGCAATCAAGTAAATTACAAAAAAAAAATATTTTAGAGTGTCAAAAAAAATATATCCCATTCTGTTTTGTGTGTTTTAGCACTGTCCTTGCAGCCGCGAAGCCGTCGACAGTTGGCCATTAAAATTACAGATTATGCGGAAGGTATTCTGAAACGATCGGAAAGTGAACGGCCAACAGTAAATACCCTCGTGGAAAGACAGACAGAGAGGACCGGGACTGCCCCCAGACAATTGGCACGTTCTCGTCGCGTATTTAACTACATAGATACGCAGATGCATACGTATATATCGTGACTCGTCGATTCTTTCACCTTCGACAAGGTTAAACACTGAGATCCAACTGGATGTTTAGAAGGATTTGTACGAAAATGAACGGCCCAGCCCAACACAAACAAGACTATACCACGTGGAGAAGAGGACTTGATTATATTAATCGTTTCTGGTATTACTAGACAAATTAAATTCCTGTTTCATATTCCGATTCTAAAAGGGGTAGGTTAACTAGACAAGCTAATTATGGTACATTTTTTGTACCTTGCTTTCTTTTCGAAGTTTCTCTTGATCGCATCAGCTTTTCCGCTCTTTTCAATTGAACTATCAAAATAAAAACAATATCAATTCATCCGGTAATACTGCAATGTACGACGGTCATTATACATTCTATACAGCGTGTTCACTCTTACGGCCTGCACGATTTTTCAGTCGTTCGCAACAATGTAATAAAAAAAAAGGTTATTAAACAAAATTTATCTGTGTTGAGTGTGCAACGTGTAGCAATAACAAACATTTCGAAGATACGTCCCCCAACCCCCCCCCCCCCCAGTAAACCCAAGGTCACCTTGAAGTTTTTGGATGCAACCATGTAACTTTTTTGTCCACTAAAAAAAAATAATATGGTTCCATTTTAAAAAACTCAAGGTGACTTTGAATTCATTATGAAACAAAAATATCTCTGAAGTGGTTGGTAGTGTTATATTTTGTCTACTCAACACAAATATATTTTGATTAATAACTTTTTTTCATTACATTGTTGCAAACAGCTGAAAAACTGTGTGGAAAGTCAGAATGAACACCCTGTATAGTGGCCATTACCAAAAGAGTTGTTGCGCCTAATTTCGGGAATTGAATTTTGGGAAAAGCATATTTTCCATTGTTCCCATTGTTCTTATAATAAGTTATCGGGTATACTGTTGGAGGACCGGTTACGGTATTTTAATTCTTGCTCGTTTCTCGATTCATGACCTCACGGCTCCCGACCTTCGACAATAAAATCCGCGTTGCGCAAATTAATATGTGGTAAATGGTACTGAATTGGCCAAATTGATGATTTAATAATATAGATAGAAAATGGCTAATCCAATTTTAAGAAATGCTTATTCAAATCATTGTATCATTTGTGGTATTCTCAAGCGCCAAACATCAAATCTGTGAGATTTAAAGATACCGATCTTCTAAGAAAATTTATGCATTACTGAAAAATTTGTGAAAACTGAACTCTATTGCGCAAACAGATATTTTAGGGGTGGTAAAAATATGGTAATTAACACAAGTTGTACTTGGTGGATCTAGTCTTATGGAACATTTTTTAAAATTATTAAATATTTCGATGATAGTATCCAAAAACGACCAGTATTAGTATCCAATTCGAGGACCCTAAGGAGATGATTTCCACATTTTCCATCATTTGTAAACAAAAGTCAAATCATGCGGTTCAGAAGAAACGAGGTTGTGACAGAGTACTAAACAAGAAAAAGGAGATATCGATGCTCTGTCACGAGTGAATTAATCAATTTTGAGAATACATTATTTATGGATTCACGATTTTATTTACGGCTCGCGAAAAAATATTTTGTGCGTTTGGTCTGGTCGTATCAAATTGTCTGCTTGACTGGCACACTGAATTAGAATTGCTACTTTGGAGTTCTTATTTTGTAAACGAAATGAAATACATCCGGAGTAACAAGGTCTTGTACAAGCATGTGTACAGAATACAATCTAGGATGGACATGTCCTTAAAATGCAGCCACTGACAGTGGAGCTAAAGTCACCAACGATAAAAAGTGTTACATACAATGAATCTGAAACCGTACTGTGCGTTGACCCTCTATTCTATGAGAATATGTGAAACGCCTTTTATTTGAATCTTATACCGATAACGGAACTGATGCGTAGTTCATAGAGACATAATGTACAATTACAGCGAAATGAAAAAATATTGTACTCACGCAATTACAAAATTCATGCGATCGATATTTTATTGGATCGAAGAATTACTCAATAACAGAAATATGTATTTTATCGAGTCACATTTGTATTTGGTTTGGAGGGTTTATTGAAAATCGACCCTTAAATATGTTTCTAGTTTTCTAAATTAATAAATTTAACAGAAAGATAATTTGTTGTATGGAAGTTATTGTCTATTAGAATATAAGACGAAAAAAAATAAAACAAATATACGGATACGAATTTCATAGAAATAATATTACGTGAGCAGTAGTGATTGGATGTTCTATTTAACCCTTGTGTGGGCAACCAAAATATTCACGGTTATTGAGCAATCTGAATACTCTTATTCTGACAGATTAGATTAATATAGATCATTTTACTTTCATACATTTCCAAAACTCTTAGTTTTCCCTTCCTATAATATACCAAGCGCTGTTTTATGTAAGAACATAAAAAATTGTAAAGGAAATTTATAAATAAATACCCGGGTACCTGGTTGCCTACACAAGGGTTAAACCAAACAGTGCGAAAATTCGAAGTCTAGTAAAATATTTTTTTAGGAGCTTTAAGTGCAATTGAGTTATTTAATATACAACATATGTAGTCGGTTTAAATGTATATGTACCGAATTGCTTTTTAGATTATTTAAGACACAAGAACTGATTTTTTTACTTTGGAAAAAAAATCTGTTACCTAATTGTACATTTGTCTAAATCATTAACGGATTTTAGAATTACAGATATACTATGTTTATTAACTATAGTTTCGAGTTATTCCTATCCATTACTATGTCGAATAATGTTTGCTGCTTTATACCATAAAAAAGGCAACAATATTGATGCCATTATTCACAGTGAGTTCATCCAAGATGCTTATTTCTGTTACAAGCAAAAAAGTAAAGGTAACCTTAAATTCTCAATGTCAAAATCTGCGCATAAGCTAGTTTCACGCATCGCTTCCACAGTTGCAAAAATAATTGATTTAGGTACATGCGTCATGAAGTATAATTCGACCACTGGTATTTTCTTATCTAGATCTGTGACGCAGCCTCGTTTCACCTGTACCGCGTCGCTCGGTGTATTGTTTACAAAAGATAAGACGTGTAATTGAGAAGAACACATCGTAAAACATCGACTGTTTTCTGGGATAAGAGTAGAAAGGGAAAGTCAGTAAAGAGAAAGAGATAGAGACATAACGTAGAACGAGCCAACAGTACGGCGTACGTGACCGACTGCATTACGTGTGTTCCCTCTCTCATCGTTTGGCGCTCGAGCACACCAAAAGATCGTTGCAATTTCGGGATTCTGACCTTCTCAGCCTACTGCCGTCTCTTCCTCCCTACTCCTTGTATTATCGTCTACGAGATTGAACACCAATATTCACCGGAGACCCGGTTTTTTTCTCGCCGGTACCGGTGGTATCGTTTGCCGGAATTTCATGACAAAACGGGAAAACGCGACAGGCGTCTATCCACGAATGACTAACCCGATTAGAAGAACAATTGCGGAAAACGATACCTTGTTTTCCTCGGTTAATCACACGAATAATTTATATTTGAAATAAAAATTACGTTTCATCGCGCATAACTCGTCTTCCGCGTTATTATGCGGTTAATAATTTATAAATATAATGATTGTTAGGAAACAATTGTCAACGTGCTTCATTACGTAGACTTGCAATGGTATTTCCGAAAACTCGATATTTAAATCTACTTCTCTGAATTATCCATGTTTATATGACATTATCATTTTTGTGTATAAAATAACATTATCTTTAGTTCAATTAAGAATACAATATTTTTAAAATCGGTAAATCATAACATAATGTAATAGTTTCAATTCGGGAAACTGTTGAAATGTAAACAATTGCTTCTTGACTAATGCAATTTTAAATTTTCTGTACTAGTTCGAAATGGACGGTCTAATTCTGTACGTGATACTTGATATCAGGAGCAGTGTTTGTGAAAGAAATTTGCTTTGCCAAAACATTCTGGAAATTAATTAAGGAATTTATTCCTTTATGCGTCCAATTATTCAATATTTTACGCATAATCGACGTACACATAAAGCTAAGTCATTGTTGTAACTACAAATAAAAATTATTTATAACAAAATATTCTTCTAACTAACAAATATTTGTTAAATATGTACACAATGTAAAGTGTATCAGCAAAATTCTTATTATAAGTGTTCAGTTATCAGCTAAACTGTCCATACAAAAACTATAATTATGTCAGTTCACTTGATACAGAATAAAAATAAATTAAAATATAGTGCTCCAATGTGTTTACCATATACAATATGAAATACTGTTACATGAAACAACAGACAATACTGTAATATGTTTTAGCTTACCTTTGTTCTACCATTGATTGTATAGTTTCCCATTTTTCCATTGTTCTGCATTTTGTTTGCCCTCATAATGATGGCATCAACTTGAGATATAAGCATTCCAATATTCTGACATTGTTTTTCTTTTCCATCTAACCACGTTATTTGATCACCACGAATTGTTTTTAAATCATTTGCACCTGCTTTATTAGAAACCAACTGTCCATCTTTAAATAACCCAGCACTGTACATATTTAAAACTTCGTTTAACACAGCAAGACCTTTTTCTGTGCCTAGAAAATTGTCTACCACGCACACACCATATTCATCCATGTCCCTGATCACATTTCTGCAGATCTCATCTATTAACTCCTCAAGATTATTTCTGTTTTTATGAAGGAAAGGTGGTAAAAGTTCCTCCTCTCGAGCCAAATGAACCTCTGGGAAGTTCTTCATACCGTTATGATGTTGCGTAGGCATCTCTAAATCATTATCTTGCAGATTATCAAGAATTCTTGAGCTTTCCAGAACAGGATTCAACAATTCTGCTCTGGCACCTAAGATTGTATCTTCAGAACTTCCTTCGTATGTTATAGGAGAAGTCCATCCATCTGCTCTGCTGTTATGTGTACCTTTTGCTTTAGTACTGTTAGATTTCCTCTTTGGATTTTGATCCCCTTTATGCTCCGATTGTCCTTTTATCTCTTCCTTGTGCTTGTTTATTCCTACAAAGAATGTAATTGAATGTATAATCTATATATAATGCTATAATACTACACTTTACTCTTGAAATCTACATTGTTTGACAACTGTAAGAATAAATGTATGCAATTTTTTATTGCTGACCTATGACTTTTGTTTTATTTTATTTATAAACTTTGGAAAACATTACACACTTTGAAAACTATAATTATTTCATGTGAAGAGAAACTTCAACTCCAATACATACTTCTTCTAAGGAGAAATCCTTGTTTCACACAAGATAATTAACAATTTTTACAGTAGATATTTAATGTATCGAAAATAACTACAGAGAAATATGAACAAAGTAAGATTTAATTTTTCGTACCTTCTGGATGTTTTGCGTTATGATGTTCTGGAGCAGTCCGAGCAGTGTTTGATCGCCGCGTTGTCTCTGACACTGGTTTTTCATTTAGGTTAGAAACTACTGGTGTATCTGCTTTCTGGCTGTTCTCGAGAGAAGAATTCTTTTTATCAGATTCCGAAATAAAATTTTGATTAGTGCTCGAAATCGTATCTGGTATAATCGATCGAACTGAATGAGTCGCACAAAATTCTCTGTGACGTTTCCAGTCCCGCCTTTGGTGTTCCTTGGTGCAATAGAAGACGGCCTTGCACCGTGAACACTTTAACAGCTTGTCAGTCCTGTTACAAACTACGCAGACCACCGTTGCACCTATTTGAACATCATCGCAGAGTGTCTGCGCACGACTGACTATCGGTCCGGACATGTTTCGTCGTTTATTTCGCGGTCACGAATGCCGACGACATTTCTCCAACGAGGGAAGTCACACACGCACTCGATTTGTGTACGACACTACCGCGCTATCGGGACACTGTACAGCTTATACGTATGAACGTGTCATTTACATGCTATATATACACTATCGAATCTGCAAAACATCTATTGGCAAACGGTGATCAAAACATCGATCTTCGATATCCGTTATTTCTTATTACGATTGCACGTAATTCCATATGGACATGGTCATCTATTAATATGGATCTGATGGGATCGCATTCCATTAAGTTTTTTGAAAATTCATGTGAAAGTTAGGCGAGTTAGGCGTGCATTTAATATTTTTCACCCAGGCCTTCCTTAAGATAGCGCCATTTTCTTGCACTTTATGACATTCCTATTTTCCTATCCACAGCTTGATTTCATACTTATGTGCTACAGAGTTCACGAAACCAGTCTTTTGATTACATACTTGCCTTTGTGATAGGTCATGCAATGTCTCTTTATCGCCTTACGAGACGCACTCTGTTGGTAAAAATATTTTGTCTAGCGAAATAACGTTTTACAATTCGCAAAATGCATTTAATTGTATAACAAATGTTGTAATGTAAACTATTAAAACATTTTGGAATCTATGAAATAAGTGAAATATAGACTAAATGAATGTTTCTTTATGCTTATTTCTGTGCTATTATGTATCAAGATTGTTTTCATGTATTTACATTTTTTGAATAAAATATATATATTTTTTATTTTCCATTTGTAATGCACTTAAATAATTTAACTGTGTAATAATTTACTTTCCCACATGAAAGGAGCAATTGTTTCTATGGTTACGCATGTAGGTTTTATCAAAACATTATGCACTGGATGCTTAAGTAAGTAGTGAAACTCAATGGGACAGACAGTTATTAAATGTTTGTGAATGAACAAGTGGTATTAAAAGAAACATGAGTACTTTTATAGAGAATGTGCATATAAAAGATGGAGAATATACAAAAACAATTTATACAATGGTAAATTATTAAAAAAATTTTGAAAATGAAAGAACTAATTTTTAATCATTTTTTTCAATTACTGATTAAAAATATAACATTATAAATATTTTTTTTCAGATTAAAGAACAGAAATATGCAGAAACAATAAAAGTTTTAATTACTCTTCTTGATTCTTATACCTCTGTATGTAAGATCATACTAAAACATAATTTTTTTGTTAGCAATAATCAATTTTATATATTTAATAATTTATTTTACAGTCCAGACCCTGTTTATCTCTTCTTGCTTATTGTTACTTTTATACACAAGATTTTATAGCTTCTGCACAGTGTTATGAAAAATTAGTTCAATTATGTCCAGAAGAAAATATATACAAACTATATCATGCTCAATCTTTACACCAAGCATGTATGTATCAAGAGGCATGGACCATATGTTCCAATATTATAAATTACAGTAATTTAGAAACTAAAGTAAAAAAGCTGCAAGCTGCTATAAAATATGGACAGGAGGATATGGTTGCTGCAAAAAGTCTTGTTGATCAATGTCCAGTGGATGATATTGATACAGAAATTAATTTAGGATGCCTTTTATATAAGGTATGAGAGAAAAACAAGAATTTCCTTGGAACAAATATATGAACCTTTTTGTCTTTCATTTCCTTAGGAAGAGCAATATGAGCAAGCTTTAAAAAAATTTGCAAATGCATTACAAATTGCAGGTTTTAAACCCCATTTATCATATAATGTAGCATTATGTTATTATAAAGTAAAAGAGTATGCTGCATCACTGAAACATATTGGTAATACTAATATTATTATTAATAATTAAGATTAATTAAGATAATTGAATATTTATTATACATTGTAATAGCTGATATCATTGAGCAAGGCATAAGAGAACATCCAGAATTAGGAGTAGGGATGACCACAGAAGGTATAGAAGTCCGTAGTGTTGGAAATACATTAACATTACATGAAACAGCTTTAACAGAGGCATTCAACTTAAAGGCTGCAATAGAATATCAATTGCAAAATTGTAATTACACACAGAAAATTTTAATTACTTGACCTATTTATTATTCTTATAGTAAATCTCATTAAATATGTTTAGATGAGGCAGCAAAAGAAGCATTAACAGATATGCCTCCAAGGTCTGAAGAAGAACTTGATGCTGTTACTTTGCATAATCAAGCTTTGATAAATATGGACACAAAGCCAAGTGAGGGATTCGAGAAACTTCAATTTTTATTACAACAAAATCCATTTCCACCAGAAACGTTTGCTAATTTATTGTTATTATATTGTAAATATCAGTATTATGACTTAGCAGCTGATGTTTTAGCTGAAAATGTACATTTGACTTATAAGTATTTAACACCAGTAAGTATGACTGTTATTATAGCAATACTACATGTTTTGTAAATGCATTTGTCATAAATCACGTACTAAAAAATAGTTTAGTGACTCAAGGGGTTATAAAAGGTACATACAAATTAATCTTCAATTCTGTGAGAATTATATTTTATATTTCATCGGTCTGGATATTTACTCTTTGAGTGTTTACATTTCTTTGCTCGTTTTTCTGAACTTTCAAATTGTTTTTGTTTATGAGCTTTTACATCATGACTAGAAGAACTGTCATCAGAACTTTCGTCACTGAAGGAGCTATCATATTTCCTTTTCTTCTTCTTTTTCTGATCTTTGGAATGTTTCTTCTTCTTTTTCTTGATCACTTCTTTCTCATCTGAACCACTATCATCTGTGTTTTGCTTATGTTTTTTAGCTTTGCGTTTTTTCTTTAGCTTTTTTTGTTTATGTTTTTTTTCTTTTTCATTTTCTTCACTTTGCAAGGGGACAACTTCTTCATTCTCTGGAATCAATTCGTATTTCTTTCCATCAGGGGACATAAAGCAATCATTAGATAAATGGCCCACTGTTCCACATTTTGTGCATGTTGTATTAAGAACTGCTTCTAAATGTATAGCTTTACGTTCGTACTTCCCAATGGTTTTTTTCTTTTGTATATCTCTTTGTAAATCTACCCCATTGGGATCTAAGTCTGTGCCATTCCCTTGATTAACATATTTCATTGATAATCCTACTTTACCATCATCGCCCACAGAAATAACTTTACACCAGACTCGTTCTCCTCTTTGCAAAACTTCTGCAACATTTTCGACATGAGCAGAGCTAACCTAGGAAGATTACATACATATAAATTATTTATATTCTACATTTACATTGCAACGCGAATGAAAAAGTTATTTTTCATGAATACATTGTTCCATTACCTGTGATTTGTGTATCAATCCTTGGGATGCACAGCCGGGTATTCTAACGAAAGCCCCGTAATTTTGTATGGATGCAACTTCTCCAAGAAATATTTGATTTAGCTTACAGTTTACCATTCTTTACAAATTAAAGAAAAATATGATTGCTTGCTAGTGATACTATGTATTGTTTCACTGCATTAACACGATAATAATCCATTAAAGTCAAGAGAATTTGACACTAAGGTTAGAACCACATATATAGATTGTTAGTTGCAGGGTTGTAGCAAGTACAGATATTCAGGGTGAGAAAACGAAACAAATTTTCTTCTATAGAAAATTGAATCAAAATTGATAAATAAAACATCTTTTATCATGATACTATTAACATGTACTTATTTTCAGTATTTATACGATTTTTTGGATGCATTAATTACACAACAAACTTCACCAGAAGAAGCATATCGCAAATTTGACGATCTTGGTAATAAACACATGGAAATATTAAGAAAAGCAACGAAACGAGTCCAGGAAGCAAGATTAAATCACGATGGTAATGCTGTTAAAAAAGCAGTAACTGATTACGAGGAAGCTTTGGAGCGATACGTTCCTGTTTTAATGGCTCAAGCTAAAATATATTGGGAACTTGAAAATTATACGCAAGTCGAAAAAATTTTCCGAAAAAGCGTAGAATTTTGCAATGAACATGATATATGGAAATTAAATGTAGCGCACACATTATTTATGCAAGCAAACAAATTCAAAGAAGCAACAGGATTTTACGAGCCCATCGTGAGAAAAAAATATGATAATGTCAGTTACAATCCACTTATTAATTTCTTATTTATAATAGTTGTAAGTTGTTAATGATCAAGTCACTAAAATTTCAGATTCTAGATGTAAGCGCTATAGTCCTCGCCAATTTATGCGTGAGTTATATTATGACATCTGAAAATGCGGAAGCTGAAGGGTTAATGAAAAAGATAGAAAAAGAAGAACAAGCGGTATCGCGAGAAGATCAAGATAAAAAATTATTTCATTTATGTATTGTAAATTTAGTAATAGGAACGTTGTATTGTTCGAAGGGAAATTATGAGTTCGGTATATCTAGAGTAATGAAAAGTCTAGAACCGTACAATAAAAAATTAGGAACGGATACTTGGTTCTACGCAAAAAGATGTTTTCTCTCTCTTTTAGAACAACTGGCTAAACAATTAGTAGTTTTAAAAGACGCAACGCTTCAGGAATGTATACAATTCTTGGAACATTGTGAAGGTAAATCTATTTATCTTCACTAGTAAATGGAATATTCATGCCATTATATACAAGTTTTTATTTTTAGTTTACGGAAGGGACGTCATGACGGTGGTAGAACAGCCTTTCGATATACAAGATATGCTTTCCGTAACCCCACAAGGAAAACAAACAGTTGTATATGAAGCGCGATATTTAAAAGCTTTGTTTTCACGTTTTCAAATGTCCTAAACTACATGTATTAAACACATTTATTGGAAATAAATAACTTTAATAATTGCAGAAATTACAGAACACAAATGAATTATTATCTATATGTTTAAAATATTTTATTATAATAATAAAATAAGATAATGTTTATACTTAATTTTTAAAAATGATAAAAATTCATTGTTTTATAATTAGAAACAGGCTCCCTATCTGGGTACGGTCCTGACAACTTATTTGCGTGCGTTGTAAGTTGTAAGTGAAAAATGGTGGTCGACATGGAATTGCAGGAAGCAAAGGATTATGTCCTTCAGCTTATAAAGGATAAAGATAAAATTGAAGCGGATTTGAAAGCTTTGAAAGAAATTTTAGATGCTGTACGTATTTCGAAACATTACAGATGTATCTTGAATACTTATCTAACCATGTCATCGAAAATAAACACAACTATCTTGCAAATACCATGATCTGCTAAATTTTCGGAAATATAATCAATTATGTTAATTATAGAATCATGTTGGTATGGGTGAACCGTTGGTTGATTCTGAAGGATATCCAAAACAGGATATTGATGTTTACCAAGTCAGACACACAAGACATAAAATAATATGTATGTTTTATTGTTGTGTATTTTTATCCCAAGAAATTTAAATAAGTTAAACTTATTAGTATATTGTTACACCATTAGGTTTACAAAATGATCTTAAAGCTTTGATGAATAAAATAGAAGAGGGTTTACACAAAGTCCATGGTTTGGCAGGAAATGAAGCAGAAAGTTCTGATGCAGCTGCAACAAATCACATTCAAGATATACAATTAGAGCCTTTTGTAAGGGTAAACTTGGTATCCCCAGGTTCACCAGCTGAAATTGCAGTAAGATATATGTTACAGATTTTTATAATTTAAAAATATAATCGATATCACATATAGAACATTATTAAATTTTGTAGGGAATTCAAGTTGACGATTTAATATTGGAATTTGGATCTATTAATTGCCAGAATTTTAAGTCATTAAAGGATATTGGGACTTTGGTAGAAAATAGTAGATATAAAAAAGTTGGCATAAGAATTAAACGTGGATCTAATACCTTAGCCTTGACTTTAATTCCACATCCTTGGGTTGGCAAAGGCCTTTTGGGTTGCAATGTAATATCTTTAGAGACAGTTGAAAGATAAAGTTACTATACAAAGTACTTGTTTGTAATTGTGTATGTTATTAAATAAAGACCAATTTGTATATTATTGTACAAAATATAGTTTTTAAATTTTTTATATTCCACATTTTGTTCATTATTACGAGTTTTAAATAGGCTTAATGATAGCAATCCTGAATTGTATCATTCTATCCTTGAAATATAATATGCATAATCTATTTCGTCATTTAAACTTGGGTATTTAAGATGGCAGAGATAGTATAAATTCAACACATTCTATGAAGTAGCAATCAGTATTGGAGTGCAGCAGCAAAATGTATTTTCCACTGCTTGTAAGTTGTAATTTATATATATAAATATATATACATGTATTTAAATATACTACCTGTTTTACTTATAAGGAATTGTTTCAACAGGTACTGTGCATAAGTATTTTTGCATCAGGAGTACTGAGTGTAGAAAATACTTACGAATATTCTGACCAATATCCATGGTCATTTATTTATACAATATATCCATTTTACAATTCTGAAACATTACTGGAGGTATGGAAAACTGACAAAACTATGGACAATTCCGCAAATGTAATAACTATCAATCCTGATGAACAAGATAAGACAGTTTTGTATTTTGATGATGTTCAGCGCAATAATACAATTTTGCAAGCAGAGAATAATGTATCTTACTTTACAACTGGAGCAGAAAATATAAATGAGAAACACTCAACGAAGAACAAACAACAGGTTTCCAATTATGTAATTATTACCGAAATATGTAGTAGTCTCTTAGTAAAATAAAAATTATTGCTCATTTATGTTATCATATGTAAACCGTTTACGCTAATGTTGTAGAAAAACAGACACGCAGATTCACCCTCAAAATGAACAAAAGGATATTTGGATTTGATGATGCACAGAAGTAACCTGATTACAGAAAAGTGCAGTTATATTATCTTATTAATCTATTGTAAGCTTTGAATTAAAAACTAAATATGTGCTTGTAGATAATATTAAAAGACTTCATTTGCAACTTATATTTTTTATATTTTTCTTACCTACGTTTATACTATTTGAACATTGTATAATATAATAGTATAATATTCGCAATTGTAAGAAATGGCAGTGATAAATTAAAACAATTTTTATTACGAATTATTTATATCTAAGAAGTTTATCACTTTATGATAGCCTTCTCTTGCATTTTGTAAGCTCTTCATGGAAACGAAGTTATTCTCATGAGTCATGACCAATTATTATGGTACGTATGTATGTATATACCTCGAGACTCCCAGTCAGCCAGACTATTCCATTTACAAAGCTCCACTTTACAAAGCGGTATTATTTGATCAAAGTAGGATAATAACGATTATGTGAATAAACTTTTTATAGAGACTCTACATCATGGTGTTATTTAAAACAGAGAAGAAATTTAAATAATGACTGATTTGTGACATTGTGATTCCTTTCTATAGTTGCTATACCTAGATTGCTATAGATATTATCGATATTATCATGGCCGGCACTTACAAGAATTATATGAAATTGTTAGAATCTTGGCCTCTAGATAAATTAAAACCTGGCAGGTAATTTATTTGATATAAAAGAAGTTTGAGGTTTTTGATATTTTCTTATTACTCTTGTTAGAAGTAAAATTATTGTTAATTTAATGTACTGTGAATCTTTCTGTGGAAACGTGTACGTTAAGGTTAGAATTAACAGTTCAAAAAGTTTGTAGTATAGAGTGTAACTTATACTTTTTATGTATCTCAGTGTAATTTGTATATGTATCTTGAATTTATAGTTCATTGTTACAATGTGAATTTTAATGACGATTTCTATTTATTTTAGAGACCTTGGTCAGCACATCCGTGATCAAGTAAAAATTACATTTGTAAAAGGAGATGCAACCACTACATTAAATCGTGAGGTATGTGATCGCTATTATATGAGCTTGAAAAGACTTGCTTCCAATCAATATGGACAAACATATGCTTGTTCCCGCACTAATGGTGCTAGTGGATTAACAAGAGAGCAATGTCATTTGGCACTCTCACCAGAACTTTTAGAGTACTATAATCTAGAAGACAAAGGATTTTTTGTACGTATGTATTTAAAAATTAAAAATAGTTTTTAATAGTCAGAAGCCTAAGGAGTACAATGATCCAAAAGTTGATACCTAGAATTTGTTTTGTTCCCATAAAAGGGCATTATGGTATTAAACATTGTAGTAGAACCATTCATTATTTATTACAAAGGCAAAATAATGTGACATGCTTAAAAAATGCAAAAGGGTACAGTAACTTAGTAAATGAAAATGTTGAAAATACATCACATTTACCAGTTATGGTTAATGAAGTATTAGAATATTTAGAACCTTTATCAGGGAAAACTTTTGTAGACATGACATTTGGTGCTGGAGGACATTCAATCAAAATTTTACAAACTTCTCCCAATGTGAAAATATTTGCACTGGATAGAGATCCTGTTGCACATGAATTTGCACATAAATTATCAGAGAAATATCCTGGGCAAGTAATTCCTTTATTAGGAAGATTTTCTGAATTACCACAATTGCTGTGTCAACATAAAGTGGAAAAAAATAGTATAGATGGCTTTTTATTTGACTTTGGTTGTTCATCAATGCAGTTTGATGTTGCTCAAAGAGGATTTTCTTTATCGAAGAATGGACCTTTGGACATGAGGATGGATGGTTTTAGATGTCCTGAAGAACCTACAGTTGCTGATGTTTTAGAAAGAGTAACTGAAATAGATTTAATTCATATATTAAGAGTTTATGGCGAAGAGAAGAAAGCAAAAAAAATTGCACGTGCTATTGTTGAAACTCGATATAACTTCAGAAGTTTGAAAACTACAGAAGAATTAGCCACACTTATTGAGTCTGTTGTTAATGAAAAAAGGCTTGATCGTCTTGGTAGATTTGCTCATTGTGCTACAAAAACATTTCAGGCACTTCGAATTTTTGTAAATAATGAATTGAATGAAATTAATTATGGGATTATTGTTGCTGCATCATATTTGAAAACGAATGGTCGTTTAGTGACAATATCTTTTCATTCTTTAGAGGACACAGTAGTTAAAAGGCATATTTCTGGAAATATACAACATTTCGTTGCTAATAGAGTACCATTAAAATATGCTGATTGCAGTAAACAATTCAGTGCAGATGAAATTGACAGCATTATGAAATCACCGTGGAAAATGTTACATAAACATGTAATAACACCTACACCTGAAGAAATAGAAGAAAATCCGAGATCGCGTTCTGCCAAATTACGAGCCATTAGTAAAGTGATGTAAAATCTAGTATCAGTTTAAGTATGGCAAATCATTATGTTCGTTTTATTATTACCTCTTTTAATACAAAGCAGAGAATGTTTTATGTTTAGAGATAGGTGTCTTGTAATGAATCTTTGTGTACAAAAATATTCTGTAAAATATGTATAAAATAAAATATTTTAATTTGATAAAGGTATTGTAACGCATTAGTTGTAATATATTAGATGTAAAGAATATATTATTGTTGAAAATAGGAATGCTTATAATAAAGAAAAATAATATTTAAAATAAGCCTTCTATTTCGTCTGTTTCACTGTTCCAATCCATATCATAAATGCTTGGCCTTGTAGAAAGACCCGGCATCATCATTATCTGCAAAGAAAAACATTATTAACTTAATTGAAACTAATAGTGATTTTACAATAAATACTTACATCTCCTACCATAGGTACTACAAAGCCTGCCCCAACAGACACAAATATATCTGTAATATTGAGTGTGAAGTCTGTAGGAGCACCCTTAACTGATGGATCACCCGTCAAAGAGTTTGATGTTTTAGCCATACAAAGTGGAAGTTTGTCATATCCTAGTTTATTGTACACTTTAATTTTATTTTGCACCTATAATGATAATTACTTTGTTCATGATGTATTAATATTAATTAACTACTTTAGTTAATTAGTTATTAGTTAATTATAGTTATCATTATTTTATTAATGTAAAAATATATATAAAATTGTTTTAGAGTTTTACCTTGTCTGCAAGAACAATTTGTCCTGCACCATACATTTCTTTTGCAATGGTATTAATTTTTTCTTCGATACCAATGCTCAAATCATACAATACTTTGAAATTGCTGGGTTTGTTCGTCACGGCTATGATAGCATCTGCAAGGTCTATAGCACCAGCACCACCTTGGGCCCAATGATTACATATCACGGCATCGGTTGCACCGTTTTCAATTGCTGCTTGTTTTACCAACTCCAATTCTGCTTGCGAATCAGTACTGAAATAAGTTTTTACACAATTATTTATTGGTCAGTATACATGTATGCTCACGGAAATACTAATTTTTCAAACCTTACCCATGAACATTAATAGCCACAATAACTGGCACACCAAATTTAATTCCATTACTGATATGTTTCAAAAGATTTGGTAGACCCTTTCTAACTAATTCAAGGTTTTCTTCGAGGTATTCCTTTTTCAAGACAGCACCTGTAGTTACCGGAGGTCCACCACCGTGCATCTTCAACGCTCTAATAGTTGCAACTAGCACAACAGCGTTTGGTATATGTCCTGACGTTCGACATTTAATGTCGAAGAACTTCTCCATACCAATATCAGAACCAAAGCCAGCTTCTGTTACCACGATACCTTCTGGTCCGACTAATTTCAATGCAATTGCGTCTGCAATAATTGAAGAACAACCGTGCGCGATGTTTGCAAATGGTCCAGCGTGAACCATTACTGGAGTTCCTTCTAAGGATTGCATTAGCGTCGGCTCAATGGCATCTTTCAATAAAATTGCCATCGCTCCTGTCATTCCCTAAATATACATTTAATTCCTTATAAAATAATGGAATCAAATTTTTGTGATTAATTTATCTTTGTAAATATACTAACAAAATCATCTGCAGTTAAAGGTTCTCCATTTTTGTTAAAAGCCACCACCATGTTACCTAGCCTTTGTTTCATGTCGTCGACACTTGTGGATAGTGCGAGTATTGCCATTATTTCAGAACCGACGGAAATGCAGAAAGATGTCTCCCGCGTTTTTCCTTTCTCAGTTGGGCTTTGACCAATAGTAATTTTACGTAAAAATCGGTCGTTTGTATCTATTACTGAAATATACAAATTCCATTTATAAAAAATTATCTGGTTGTATGATTTGATAAACAGGGTCAGGCATTTAAGAACATATGTATTCCTCAATACGCTGGTTGTTTTGGAGTTTACTAGAAGCTGCTAAGAATTACTCTAAGCAGTTGGGTAGAAGAAGTATCATATTTAAGACCATTTTCTAAAGGCCGCTTAAAGAAAAAATCAATCTCTTATATTTACAAATTGTATACCTAAATGAATCACCAAAAAACTTAATATACGTAAATAGGGTAAGTCAAACCATTTGAGGATACATTTTACTTTTTACTATTTATCTTGTAAGTACCTCTAGTGAAAGGAATATTTTCTGGATCGATATCTAGTCTTGCAAATGTCCTGGCTTCCTCTTCTGTTAGACTATTCGGGTCGGTCTTCGTAATGCCAAGTTTTTGTAAACGTCTTAACTGTATTTTCGAAAATTTCCTTACACCTTTATTCGACGGTACAAGTCTATCGTAAAGAGCCTTATCAGGTTGAGTGGTCTCATGGAAGTATCGGGCGTCTATTTGTGCTGCTAACAGATTATTGGCTGCAGTCACAGCATGGATATCGCCGGTTAAATGCAAGTTGAACTCTTCCATGGGAATAACCTGAGAATATATCAATTATAAAAATTTCTTATGTATACGTTGAATATGGAAAAAATAGGCTTTCATTTCAATAAACCTGTGAGTATCCTCCACCTGCAGCTCCCCCTTTTACACCAAAAGTGGGACCCTGACTAGGTTGCCGTAAGGTAACAAACGAATTCTTTCCCCTATGTGCGCTCAGAGCTTGTACCAAACCAAGTGACGTGGTGCTTTTGCCTTCTCCAAAAGGTGTTGGTGTGATACCAGCAACTACTACGAACTTTCCATTTTGTTGATCTTTTAGTCTCTTTAATACGTTCAGACCAACTTTCGCTTTTTTGCTTCCATAAGGACTGATCTCATTTGGGAATAGTCCAATCTCTTCTGCCAAACTTGTGATTGGTTTCGGTTCTTGACTCCTTGAAATTGCAATATCGCTGGGCACAGGAGTTTGTGGGTTGATTGTTAGAACTCTTAATTTCCATTCAGCATTCAAAATTCTCTCCGCTACTCTTTGAGCGGATATCACCGTATTCTTCATCAACATGGCCACGGTCATCGGGCCAACTCCGCCAGGTACCGGGGTGATATACGAAGCTATTTTCGCAGCTTCTTCATAATCAACATCTCCTACTAACCGCTGTCCAGATTTTTTTGTTGAATCTACAATAATTTCGTGTATTTTAATATTCTGTTACATACTAAATTAAGTGTGTTACTTTGAAATATGATACAGAATCTTAACTATAGTGAAAGAAAATATAGGTAAAACTGTTAGGATTAAACAACATTATCAGCAATTAGAGAATACAAGCATTGTAGTAAAGAATGAATGTTATATAGATACATGTATATTTTATGTCGTCATTAAAGGATTAAATTGGTAATATTCACAGTTGCATACATTTTTTAGAACAGCGGAAATTCACAATCGCGCGAAGTAACAAATTGTTTAACATTATTTTATTTTATATAATTTTAAACAGAATTGTATCGAAACTATTGTTTTTTAAAGTAAAGTGAAAGTATAGATTAACGATGTATAGTTCTCAGATGCAGTTGCATTGGAGGCAAGAGTGTTTTGTCTCATTTAAGCCCCAAGACTAGTTTCGTCTGGTGTTTCGAAATCTGAGGTCAAATTAATGGAAGAAAAACTACGTTAGACCAAGTTCCATAAATGTGATAGCGATAACGAACGGACACTCGTCTATTGTTCTTACAGATACTTAAGAGTCATCGTCGAGAAGACAAATTAGAAATTATTCCATTTTAGTTAAGCTTATGGAAAGTTTAAAAAAAGTGACTTGAACTAATAACTAAACATTCCTAATAGCAATTAAGTTTTGTCATTTGAGTAATAATCCAAGGTACAAATCATCTTGAGTAGTATTATAACGAAAAATTACCCATGCATTTGCTTCCACATTTTTTTTAAATTCTTAAATCTTACTTTCTCTCGACTTAAAAAACGAAACGGATGCTTTGAATGAGAATATTTGTTAAATTCCAAATTCATTAAGAACATTAAATTTTGAAGTTGAAATAACAAAAATAATAAGATGTTCAGTGTGTCAACTTACTAAACAGGAAATTATATCTACCTGAAATTGAGTTTATTCCGCAATCGATTACGACTGTACCCGGTTTAATCCAGCTTCCCTTGACCAGCTGGGGCTGGCCAATACCAACCACTAAGATATCGGCCTGCGAGACCTACAATCAAATTGAACGTTTAGTATATTTAGACATGTTCGGAATTATTTTATCGGAACTTAGGTACGCAATTTATTACATACAATTTCTGGAAGATTCTTTGTTCTTGAGTGGCACACTGTTACAGTAGCGTTGTGCCATTTTAACAATTCGGCTACAGGCGTACCGACAATTTTGCTTCTGCCTAAAACTACGGCATTAGCACCAGCGATTGGGACTCCGCTCCTAGTATACATATTATCACATAAATTAATTACTTATTATTTATTATATATAACAAATATATGATTAACTAATTATATATCTTATTACTTACTAATTGTTTGTCATGATTGAAGGAAGTCATTTTGAAACATTGAAAGAAAAACAAAAAGTTCTTCATCCAATTTCAGTTAAGTGTTCATAATGTAATATTTTAACAGACGCGTCATTCGGATGTGAATGATTGTTATAAGATTTTTTAACGAACAATATGTATACAGAAAAATGATCTTCGTAAAGATTTTGGATGAAGTTACAATTAAACTACTGCATTAAAAAGAGTCATAAAAAAATGTATGGTGGCGTTAATAAAAGATCTTACGAATTTCAATGTATCCTTAGTTTAACAATCAATAAGTTCATTACTTTTAAAATAGTATTGCATTAAAGTTAAATTGAAAATAGATCTAATATAGAAATATAAGTTTTTTGAAACGAATTAAAATTTTGTAACGTACTTCTTGATAAGTTCGATACACCCATTGGGAGTGCATGGTACAAATCCCGACATATCACCAATAGCGACTCTTCCTTCATTAATCGTGTTCAATCTAAAAAAAAATGAAATTTGTTTTTAACATCATATAGTAATAAATACGCTACACGTGTTGTTGATTATTATTTATAATCAATGATTGGCGTCATTATTTCAGAATTTCTTAATAACACCATGCTTACGAACATATAATGACGTGTTTTAACGGTACGTAAGCAATAAACTATTGGTATCGAATTAGCATTTGTTTAAGCGAGAGACGCTTAAGGCGATCATATTCTTATCATCTAATCTGGGGCATTTTGCCAGAGGTCACGATATCTTCGTTTTCTTTTTCAATTTGTAACGTATAATGTAACGAAAACATTCACATTATTGCTTTCGACAGAATACATTTTTTATAAAATACTCGATATGATTAGAGAATTATGTGGTTAAATAATTTTGTACTTCACTCGGCCCGTAACGTTTAAAAAGTTTTAATCTATAAAATTTAAATAGTAAACACATGTAAAGCATGATCACATTAACAATGAGTATAAAAATGTCCAAATAATTTTATAGCTTACTCATGTGTTCAATACTCTAGTTTCTCCAATAATTAATTTATACAAAGTATCTCATCATTAGTGGCCACATTACGGACTTCTTATATTTAATATTGCAAAAAAGTTGATAACACAAATGTACCCTCCTTTTAACTAGACTTTGATTTCACGAAAATCGAATTTGAAAGTTTAAAAACCATCCACGTTTGACTTGTATTATTAATGCCATCCATAACGGTGGGACACAAACAGTCAGTCCACTTACAAGTGGTAAAAATTATTTAAGCAGTCTGTTTTCCTCATTACACATCACATTTGCTGAATTAAACTTTAAATAAAAATATGTTTTTCTTGTCTGTATTGATGATTAATTTACTTTCAGAAATTGTAGTTCAGAAACTTGACATTTATTTCTGTCAAATCACAAATAACAATGTACCAGTTATTTCCACTATATTGATTTTATTTAATTTCGATAAAGTATATGCTATTGTTCGAGTTGTTATACATATAAGTACTTGTTTGTATATAACGTTTTTATAAAAATTATAAAATCAGAGTCTTATAAAACTGAGCGTAAGGAAAATAATTTTATTATCAATATAATTTATTACTTACCCATCTACATCTTTTTCGGGCACGACCAAATCAGTGATCATATGGCTATTGATCCGATTTACACTATCGAGAGGCATTTGTACAATGATTCCATGAACGTTTGGATCATTGTTCAATTTATTTACTTTGTTTATTAATTCGATCTCTGTAGTAGTGTTCGGAAGTTTGACGTGTTCAGCTGCGATTCCGATGTCGCTGGCTGCTTTTATTTTCATTCTGATATAAACATTTGAATCTTCCCTGCCCCCTACTTGAACAATAGCTAAGCCGGGTGTAAAACTCGGGAGTTTTTCTTTCAAAGATTTTACATCTTTTGTTAGATTTTCACGAATTTCTCTGTGATAGGAAAAACAATTAATTAATGTTTTCACTGGCGCAACTCATGTTATATTTATAATGTTAGTAACAGAATCGTGTGTTTGTGAAATTATTTCCAAATTGAAAAAGTTAAGTTAAATTCTTAATACATATACATGTTTTTCAAGATTTATGTTTTTTATACAAAATATTTTTTTAATGCAAGTAACTACTGTTGTAAGAAGTTTCTTGTATTGTAGTATTATTTGTGCATGTTTAGATGTAATTATGTGTATATTCAAAAGTTTATAAAGGAATATCCTTTTATTGCTGTTACATGTGTATCACGTGGGTATTTGAAATTCGCGGGCTTTAATGCAGGCTCCCTGTCCTTCGTTTCTATGTTTTGCGAAAAATACATAATTTAATAGTCTCATAAACATGAAGGATTTTATGCAGAGCTGCATGAATGTTTATGCAATCTGCTGTAAGAGATGCGATTTTAACGATTATATAACTTATGTGGAGACTGGAAGTAAACATAACCTTACATGGACAAACATGCATGCTTTCACAGAGCACATTAAAGTTTCCGAGAATTCAAATGCATTTATCCCGTAATTCGAGTTCGAAGGTTAGGTCAGTGCAACGAACACTATCGACCTCTGTACTCAATTAGCAGTCGAAACACGAATTTGAATTCCAATTTCTCTTCGAGAACTGGTTTTAAAGAAAAAGAATATTAGTGCAGGATTTTTGCTGGAAGTCGATGGGTACGTACGACCAGTACATATTTTGAGCAAGTTTCGTAAATATTACTGGATTTTAATGTAAAGAATAATTACGCGGCAATCCGAATTTAGTTTAATTTACTTATAACCAGTATAACTTACTTTGCCAGTTCCGTGCCGGATAACAAAACTCCTCGCACGTCTGTCGCCATAATTCGTTTGAAAAATCTGTGACCACAAAGTAAATCACTTTTATTTTTCACAGATTTCCTATCGATGCAAACTTTCTTAAATTAATCACTGTATAGAAACGCAGGAACTGAAATACGCGTGGCTAGATACGATATAAATTTGTTGAAAGGCTGATGATTATAGAATGAACCGAGTTACAGCAGGCTACCGGTTTATTAGCGATTGAGTTCGAACGATGTATGTATTTATTGAGAGAGACAGTGTGTGATGTCATTCACACATAGAAACGTTTGTTTGATTACTTAATGCCTACATAGAGCTCTTAAATTGTATAGAAACCTGTGTAATACATGCATACTGTGTATTCCAGATTTATATTTTGGTTTCTTTTTTTCTTGGTCACGTATCTCAGTGGTTTTCAACGTTTTAAAAACTTATTATACGCATATAATTTTTTAAACTATATAATGTAACTATTGTAATAATCAATTATTTTACAGTTTTAGTGTTCTTATTCGCTGTCTATTTCACTTTTAAATAATAACTCTTGCTTTATATATTTTTTCAGTAGTATATATATATATATTTTATATTTTAAAGGGTTCTAAAGAAGTAAACGAATATGATCACGCATAAAATTGTGATATTTCGTAGAGATAATAATAATTTTGATGATATATTATAGTGGATATATGAATCTTACTTAAAGGTTTGTGGTATTCGCGTCATATGATTGTTTGATGCGACGATTTCCCGGACACTAATGATAAAGATGATCTTCATGGGGGGTAAGAGAATATATTTTATAAGTAAGACAGATTCTGTTTACCAGTCTTTCTACATGATGAAATTTGAATCGATAAACTTTGACACGTAAGGCATTCGTCACGAATGCTCAAAGAGGATGTTATTATAGTATACATACGTTGCATCGTCTCTACAGAATGATTAATTTATCATTCATTAATATTTTTGATATTACTGACTTGTGAAATAAATGTTATGTGCAATCCATTATGTTTTTGAATTTCTGTTAAATGGATTATTATTATTATTATATGATTATTTTTTTGTATTACTATTTGATTTATGCTATATTTAGAATGGTTATTAAATTCACTGAAATTGTAATTGTATATTTATTTTTAGTGTACAGTACTCACACGGTCAGTGTTGTAAGTTTTTATATAAAAATTATCTTGTATTATTTTCTCTGATTCAGCTGTTTGGTTAAATTACGAAAGATACAATCAATTTGCGTGGTCAAATTTCATTAAATACGTTTTTACGTAATAGATAATCATTACATATATTTACTAGTTCAATAATTATGATCGGTATGATGCATTATATGAAAAATGTACCTACCTATGTCGTTCTCGTGAATTATCTTATTGCATTCTGTATAAGATGAACACGGTGGCAAGTTATTGACTTCTAATATACGAATCTCATTTATTCATTGTATGTAGATAAGTGAATTTATCGAATCTTATCATAGGCTTTAAAATATCGTGCTACGATCTCGTGATACAAAGCTCAAAATACATAATTAGGGGATTCCTCTTAAAATTATGTAACTAATGTTGTGAAAGGCAGTTATTCTATACATTCTAAAACTTTAATAAAAGTTAAGAACGTTAGCTACACGATTTTTTTTATTGCTGTTGTTTAATTTACATATTTTAATTAAGTAATTCAGTTCTTTTTTAAGTATGTTCAAATTTTATAAGTTTTTCAATTATTTTGAGAGTAACGTATTATGTATACATGTATATGTTATGTATAATTGTAATACAAACATACAGGTTTCAAGATATATATGGGTCTTGATAACAGCGAACTAAATTAATTACAACTATCCTTTAAATTCCAAATTCAAAAATTCTATTATCATGCGTTTTTTGTTATTTTCCACCATGTCACAAAAGTAATTGGCGTGTAGAAGGAATTCAGGTCCAGTTTATCATAATATGTCCCACCTTTTCTTGCATTATTACGAAGACAAAGATAATATCGATAATAATTTAACGATTGTTTAAAATTCAAACGTTATGTGGATGGATGTGTTATGTTTGAAAGTTTTAATTAAGGGATATTGATTCCGATTAACAGAAAAAGGTTAATTTGCCGCAGTTTGTAGAGTTAAAATGTACGATGATGAATCGTCCATAAGTAAATTATTTCTGTGAACAAATATCGCTGAGCCTCTTTAATAAATGCTGAACTGACAGTTCTTATTGTCATCCTTCACAACAGTATATTGTGAACTTTATCACGTATATTTAAACATTTTAATAACAACTTGCGCAGGGAATATTTTGTTCAAAGAATTTAGTCGTTCTTATTAAGTAACAGTTCATTTGTAACCGTATTCAATGACTCATGTTAAGTTTTACATTCTTCGAAAAATTATGTGTTGATTTTACATACTTTACTGTGAAAGTCGTTTGGTTACTATAATTCAGGAAATTGATTATATTGACGGTGACCGTATCTGTCGCGGCAAGTGATATTCGCGTCTGTTCAATCAAGGTGATTCAGGTCGGTTCGCATTTGTTTACAGCAAGTTTCGTGAACAGTTTAAACTGTAGTATTCCCCCAAACTTTCTGGAGAACTCTGCAAAAACAGCGTGCTTCCCTCATTCTGTTCTGTGTTACCAGACCCACGACTCGATAAACCTATCTAATTTACTGTGGACCATACCTCAAAACTGAGCAAAAAAGTAAATTTAAGCTCCTTGATGTCACGACATCATTAATCCTGCTATCAAAATATTCAAACGGGTTATGAATAAACTACCATTGAATAATTCGTACTACATTCTCTACGAAGTCATGAATCAGTTTTTCATATTCTTAAAATGTTGTACTTCGTAAAATTGAAACATCTTTTGTAGCTACAAGATTCAATATTTACACATCCATTTTGTACTTTTAAAAGGTTGTTTTTTAATACAGTATTGATATGTCAATCAGATGTTTCAATATATATGTACAAAGTTTGAAAATAATTGTTACTAATTCTTTTCTAACTCATTGTAAAATTCTTAAAGGAATTTGTATTTAACAAAATCATTATAAAGGGACAGATATATGTATAGCCTTGTATTGCGTTTAACTCGATGTGATGTGCACATAATAAGTTTATCTCTTTCGGGATGGATTTTTTTTTAACCATGAAAAGTACCTTAAGCATAGTTTTGAGAAGGATCATACGTCTTAATAGGTTCCAGTGATGACAGAGAAAACGATAACTGGGAAGTAAGTTCATTCATGAAATGTTGTACAAAATAATTAACAAACGCAAATGGTGGATATAATAAGGTAATTACTCGTAATATTATGAATGGTAAGGTATAAAACATTTAATACTTCAACTCTACAGCTTGAACATACAATTCTAAATACATAGTCAGTTTTTGTACCTTAGTTGCTGAACATCTAATACATCTTTTTTTTTTAAACAAATATCATTGATAAAGATAAATAATTGAATTTGGAAGCGTGTCCCAGCAGACATTGTAAAAGTGTGTCCCATCGATCACGAAAGGGTCAAAGCCTTAGTATTCTCAGCTCGAATAAGAGTTAAAGAATACTTTAAACGAGCAAGCTGGTAATCATTTCAATTCGATACTCGCTGTAGCTGCCTACTACGTCAAGTGTCACAACAGTAAAAAATTCCCAGTATTCGCCTGGAAGAGAACACCAGCAAAATTGCCGGAGATAGCGTCCGGATAAGACGTGATTAAACTCAATAGGGGGAAGAACCAAAGAGAAAGGAGGAAGGTGAATACGGAGTAGGAGTTTATATGTATATAGCTGTCCCGCGAGATAGACCCGGTCCGTGCTAGGGGAATCTGGAGTATCAGAGACGTGGCCACGAATCGCGCTCCTTTGTGGGACTTACGCCCTTCTGAGAGCGCAGAAAACCACGGAGGAGGAGGATCTTGGTTAATCTTACTAATCTTCGCCGCTTGCTCCGACCTCCGATGGCGAAACGGTACAACGGGCCGGTCGAAAACCACGGCCTAATGACATTACAGATCCCCCAATCAGCGCGAAGACCGGATAAAGGACGTACAACACGCTGCGCTTAATTTCATTGAGCTGCTTGAAGCGAATTTAAAATCTTTTCAGGCAATATGGAGACCCAGAGAATCTCGTTTTTTTTATTATTAAGCCACGAAACGTGCGCTTGTAATTATTTGTCTTTCAATTTAATTGTTTGATACGTATGAAAACGACGAATTTAATCGAAAGAATAATAATGACAGGTAAATAAAAATTAATCTAATCGCTTACTGTGAATGTTTATGCAAATACAGATTTTTGTGTACTGATTTGCAGAAACTGGCATCCAAGAAAAATTTGTTTACTGTGTAAAAGGTTTTATTACGTAACATTCAAATAAAATAAACGTTTTCGTATATTTTTTTTCTTAAACTGTCTTTAACCAACACAGAATCAGTATTTTGCTTTCAATCAGTGATTTTTTTTCTTAAACTGTCTCTAACCAACACACAATCAGTATTTTGCTTTGAAAAAGAAAATTAACGCAATGTACAGAGAATGTTAGTTTTACACATTCGGCTCCCTTCCCTAGTGGTAGGGGTGACGACTACACAAATCGACTCTCACTTATCGAGACATTTCTGTATACGATAGAAAATGATGTAAGAATCAACGGAACGTTGAATATTCTAATAAAATGGAACAATTTGTATGAATCTTTGATAATTTTAATAAAATCCCTCCCCTGCTTCCGTCTCTGTTACTACAATAAAGACACACGAAATTAAAGAATACAGTTCCACCTTCTCCTTAGTTTTTAAGATATTAAATTAGGGTGTAAGAGTTTTTACAGCTTAAAAAATTTGTTAGAAAATCTTGAAATTCATTGTACTTAGAACATTTTCAGTAGGCTGTTGAGACATTCAAAATATTGAATGTTTTTCGTTTCATTTCTATTTTAGCACCTCGTTAAAATATTTCATTCTCACTATTCTATTCGAACACGTAAACGATTAAATTGTTAACTGTTTAAGTCCACTATTAAGGTATCTCCCGGCGGACCTGTGTCCCCACGCAAGTCTTGAATCTCGCGGGTCTTCGCAGCTTAAGGTTAATTAATATCAAGCCGGCGCGGTACCATAGACGAAGATCACGAGGAAATTGGCGGTCACCGTGAAA